GTAGTACACCGGGTCACTTGATTTAAAGGGGTATTTTTTAAATGGTGCAGGACCATTTTTACAGGGATGGAGATATTATAATTCATACCACAATGACAAGCATGATAAAAGATAGAAATACAGCAACATGTGTTTTTTATTCACCAGCCACAGTTGTCAGAGGTCTTAAATAAAACATGTAACACTTTGGGTAAAGGGGTCTTGTCCAGTAAGGGTACAAGACTCCCAATCATTACTGAACTTGGGTAAAGGGGTCTTGTCCAGTAAGGGTACAAGACTCCCAATCATTACTGAACTTGGGTAAAGGGGTCTTGTCCAGTAAGGGTACAAGACTCCCAATCATTACTGAACTTGGGTAAAGGGGTCTTGTCCAGTAAGGGTACAAGACTCCCAATCATTACTGAACTTGGGTAAAGGGGTCTTGTCCAGTAAGGGTACAAGACTCCCAATCATTACTGAACTTGGGTAAAGGGGTCTTGTCCAGTAAGGGTACAAGACTCCCAATCATTACTGAACTTGGGTAAAGGGGTCTTGTCCAGTAAGGGTACAAGACTCCCAATCATTACTGAACTTGGGTAAAGGGGTCTTGTCCAGTAAGGGTACAAGACTCCCAATCATTACTGAACTTGGGTAAAGGGGTCTTGTCCAGTAAGGGTACAAGACTCCCAATCATTACTGAACTTGGGTAAAGGGGTCTTGTCCAGTAAGGGTACAAGACTCCCAATCATTACTGAACTTGGGTAAAGGGGTCTTGTCCAGTAAGGGTACAAGACTCCCAATCATTACTGAACTTGGGTAAAGGGGTCTTGTCCAGTAAGGGTACAAGACTCCCAATCATTACTGAACTTGGGTAAAGGGGTCTTGTCCAGTAAGGGTACAAGACTCCCAATCATTACTGAACTTGGGTAAAGGGGTCTTGTCCAGTAAGGGTACAAGACTCCCAATCATTACTGAACTTGCTCTGTTTTATTCTTTTAGAATACATGAACTGATTTGGTATATTTCAAATTAAAACTTTGAAACCCAGTGAGCTATTTATAAGACCTCTGGCATGGACCCTTTGTATATTTGTATGTGATATAAAAGAAAAACAACATTCTTGATTAAACATGATGTAGCCTGGTTATACTGTGGTCTAATGTTCTGATTGAGGATAATGATCAGGAGCCATGGCAGACCATAGTTAAGATTATGATTAAATACCTTACAGCTGACGGGTTATTTGTACATATGCTGTCCTTGACCACTGGTCAAATGGATTTGCAACAAAGAGTGTTGTTTAATCTTGGTCCTTGGTGTAATGTGAGACGTGGCACTTATCCTACCTGTTCTGTACAAGTAGGTCATCGCATGGATTCTTTGTAACTTACAAAGTTTTCATTAAAAGTTGGAAATATTTTCACTTTAAAAATGTGATTACATTGTATTGATTTGGTACTGTTATGTCAAGTACTTGTACAGTACAAGGGGCATCCTTTATTGGTTGATCCAGGTTTCACTTAATTCTGCAGTTATATATAAATTATAGAAATACCTGTATAGGTACTGATACCTGTATAATGACCATACCTGATATTTATCATAAACATATATTTAGGGATACCTACCAATACAAGTTTTTACCTGTGTATAAATGATACCTATCTATAACTGACAACTGTCTATAACTGAAAACTGTCCATAACTGACAACTGTCTACAACTGAGAACTGTCTATAAAGTACAACTGTCTATAAAGGAGATGTATCTATGAAGGGCACTTGATATATAGGAGACTGTTTAATGTTTATACATATTAATTGACATGTAACGATAAACATCTATAACTTTTCAGACTTTGCCAGACCTACTGCATAACCCAGATACATAATCTTACTCCTCATACCTACTACAGCTGATGTAGACACCGGTCACTTTTGTCCACCTCAGGTGGGTCATTATAGTGACTATTTGTTCTTCGCTGGTCTATATCTAGTCCAGTTATCTGGTCATTGGTCAAAGTGTTCTTATCTAAGGTCAGCAATGATGGTCATTACATGTAGGTCACCTGAGTGCCCAGTGCATACTCTGTTATCAACATGGTGTTAGTCAATGAAAGTGCACACTTAACTAAAATTCAACCTTGAATATTCACTTCATCTGCAATTACATACTGATGATATTATGTAAATATTTAAGAAGGTCGTTCGAGTGTACAGGTAAAACTGTTGTAGTGTACAGGTAAACTGAGAGGTTATATCAATAAGTGATTGCTGGATGTTGAGAGTGTACAGGTAAAATTCATAACAGTGTACAGGTAAACTGACTGGTTATTCCTGGACATTGAGAGTGTACAGGTAACTGTGTAAGTATATAAATTACAGCTTGCTGGACAAATACTTATCTTGACCTGTACTATGTAAGGTTAGTTGAATGTAACCACTTGTACCAGCAAACAAGAAATATTTGTGTTTTACTGTAGAATATTCTTTAGAACACACACTATCTCATCAATCTGTGTGTCTGCAGCATACTGACAGCAGCACTAACAGCCAGGAAACTGTCAACAAGACTATACCATCAGCTTAAGTACTTACATACACCTGCTTACCTAGTTACAACACCTTCTCTGGTGTTTTTCTCACTTATAACTATTTCTAACATCTATTCAATTTACTCTAACTTAACCCCAGCTCTGATCCCGACTCAAGTTTCCTCTCACTGGCCCCTACTTACCCAGCTGTGACCCCAACTCAAGTTTCCTCTCACTGACCCCTACTTACCCAGCTCTGATCCCTACTCAAGTTTCCTCTCACTGGCCCCTACTTACCAAGCTGTGACCCCTACTCAAGTTTCCTCTCCCTGACCCCTACTTACCCAGCTGTGACCCCAACTCAAGTTTTCTCTCACTGACCCCTACTTACCCAGCTCTGATCCCTACTCAAGTTTTCACTTACTGACCGACCCCTACTTACCCAGTTCTGATCCCTACTCAAGTTTTCACTTACTGTGCGACCCCTACTTACCCAGTTCTGATCCCTACTCAAGTTTTCACTTACTGACCCCTACTTACCCAGTTCTGATCCCTACTCAAGTTTTCACTTACTGAACCCTACTTACCCAGCTGTGACCCCGACTCGAGTTTCCTCTCACTGACCCCTGCTTACCCAGCTCTCAATATACCTCCAGGTTTCACTTACTGACCCCTTCTTACCGAGTTCTGATCCCTATTCAAGTTTTCACTTACTGACCCCTACTTACCCAGTTCTGATCCCTACTCAAGTTTTCACTTACTGACCCCTACTTACCCAGCTGTGACACCTACTCAAGTTTTCACTTACTGACCCCTACTTACCCAGTTCTGATCCCTAATCAAGTTTTCACTTACTGACCCCTTCTTACCCAGTTCTGATCCCTATTCAAGTTTTCACTTACTGAACCCTACTTACCCAGCTTTGACCCCGACTCGAGTTTCCTCTCACTGACCCCTGCTTACCCAGCTCTGAATCTGACTCAAGTTTTCACTTACTGACCCCTACTTACCAAGCTGTGACCCCTACTCAAGTTTCCTCTCACTGACCCCTACTTACCCAGCTCTGACCTGGACTCAGTTTCCTCTCACTAACCCCTACTAACAGGTTCTATTTGCTCTTTAGGAAAACCTGTCTTGGTAATAATCACATAGTCATTTATTTATTTTTTGTAAAGAACTGGCTTTATTTTTTAGAATATCCTTCCACAGCTATATACCATGGAGTATATATCTTAATTTCTGTAGTTTATCTGTATAACTATTGATAAGATTTTGACACATTTATCACAAATTAAATGAAAGAATAAATTTGTGATGGTACATAACATTATGGTCGCCTTTTAAATTTGCGCTAGAGAGAAAACCCTGTAGCTCAGTGGTAGCTAGAGCATTTGACAAGGAAGTCTGCGGTTCGATCCCTAGTGGAAGCACACTATTCTCTTTCAGCCTGTTACAAATGGTGTCCATGGCTCTCTCTGTCATTGTAGTGTTTGAGGGCAAACAAATTTATAAATGGGAGAAAAGCATGGCAGATTTTAATTGTACATAACATTATGGTCACCTTCTAGCTTTGCGCTAGAGGGGATTTCCCTTTAGCTCAGTGGTAGAGCGTCTGTCTAGGAAGTCTGGGATCAGGGGTTCGATCCCCTGTGGAAGCACGCTATGTCTTTCCTGTTACAAAGTTCAAATAAACCCTGAAACTCCATTCCTGTCAAATATAACACTATCGTCTGACTATTTTATTAATACACATTGATTAGAGTGAAATTCTGCTGACGTAAAATGATTATTGACCTATAAGTGTATGTATACTAATTCCTGTTAATATAGGAGTAAGGTCATGTGTTGATTACTGACATCATAGACTCATGTGGGAAACGGTGTTATACAAATATAGTGAGGTAGTAAGCTGTAGTAGATACAGGTACTGGACATTATAAACATTGTGAGATATACACTGGGGTAGATAGGAGAAATGGTACTGGGCATTATAAACATTGTGAGATAAACACTGGGGTAGATAGGAGAAATGGTACTGGACATTATAAACATTGTAAGATATACACTGGGGTAGATAGGAGAAATGGAACTGGGCATTATAAACATTGTGAGATAAACACTGGGGTAGATAGGAGAAATGGTACTGGAAATTATAAACATTGTGAGATATACACTGGGGTAGATATGTGAAATGAAACTTTGTGAAGTATTCTGTGGTAGATATGTGAAACAGCACTATATAAATACACTATAAATATGATGAACTATTCTGTGACAGAAACGTGAAACAGCACTAATACACTATAATTGTGATGAACTATTGTGTGGTACATACGTGAAACAGTATTATACACGAGATACAATATCCCGTTTTTGTGTAAAACACAGCAGGCCAGTAAGTACAAACCTATCATAGTTATATTATCTGTGTAGGACTTTCTATTTGAGGCTCTAGGTTTGTTCTGCCTGTGTTACATACTATATGAACCATACCAGGGCTGGCAGGGATTCCAAGGGTGCCAGTCGGGACAGCGTAAATGGAGCAGTAGTAGGCATAGGACTGCCAGGCCCTGACTGGACTGACTTAAGCTGGGAGAGGATCCTGACTGGAGTGTAGTGCACAGTGTCTGGGGAGTAACCAGGTTCTGTTTTGGTACTACTCTTACTGGTGTAACAGAGCGTAAGGACTGGTGTATCAGGACTGGCCACTGTATGTATGTACCTATGTACCTGTGTGGCGGTATTTATATCCTTGATACACATATGTGTGTGTAGATTTCTCACACTGCTCCAAGTTCATACTTATAAGTAAGCAGAGGTATTGTCTCATTAACGGTGTAACCTCTATACCTGAGCATCTCACCTGTCTGGTCTTAAATCCTTACCAGACAGCGCAATGACTTGAGAGACACATGTCTAAACAAACAGCAACAACGACAGTTTGACAACAAAAACGGCGACGATTTAGTAGTTAGGTTGGCGTGCCTGTGTGTGGATCTATACACTCCACTAAACAGTGAATCAAACGGACCGAATGAGAGGAGGAGGAGTAAGGTCAGGTGAGGACTCCTGGGATCACAGCGGCCCTTCTCAGGTTAGAGGTCTGTCCCTACAGGTAGGGTACAACAAGTAAACACAAACTTGTGTCAGCTATACTACTGTGAATACCGTCTGTACTACCTATACATGCAGTCAACCTAAATTTTCACTGACTAATAATAGTGACACTAAAAAATCATATACTTCAAGTGTAATTTACCTGTGTATATTAGTGATATTTACCTGTAGAATATTTTTCTCGGAAACACTACAGCGGTTCAGTTGGAGAAGAAACAAACAGTAAAAAGTACATGTGGACTTAATTTAGCTTTCAAGTCAGTCAGCTTACGGAAGACACTAGGTGATTCGACTCGAGAAGAGGGGACATTCGCGTAGGTAGTGACACCATCGTGTGTGTGTAAATGGGCTTTCCTGCATTACTACCAGAACAGTTTTATTGTCACGTCGACCAGCTTGTGTAGCCGAGTTATAATTAGGAGTTACGTTGTAAAATTTCATTAAGTCGTGTAGTAAGAGGATTCTCAGGCTCCAGGCTCGCAAAGGAAAATTAAGCGAGTACATCAGACTTCAGACGGGGTTTGTAAAAATATCACAAATACAATAGTGTATTGCAAAAATATTGACCTAAAATGTTGTTATTGGGTAATTTACTGTGTGTTTTCTAGTAGAATAATAATACTAATGTCCTTTCCTTGTATAAGGTATATAATCACCCTGTGGAGATTCTTGATGATAACCAATTAACAGATAGTATCACAGTCGAACATTTCTGGGATTAAATCGTGTAAGGTTTTACAAACTGTAAATAGATTGTCAGTTTGGTTTGGACTAAGGACGAGCGTGCCTACAGTGTTGTATAGAAGTGAATCCCATGGCAGCACACTGAGAGAGTAGTATTGGAGTGTACCCTACCACAAACCACGACCACGTGAGGGCCTGAATAAATACATCTCTCCTCCCTCTGTCCCCACTCTCCCAGCATCTTGGGTTGCGGAAAGGAAACTCCACCAATACGGAGAGTTTGGACCAGATTCCAGTGGAATAGTTCAATATCATCATTGGACCGGGAAATTGTACACAGTGTTACCCATCCACGCCCATAGTACAACAACACTCCAACAGATACTCATTCATGTGACCGCTGTGTTGGAACAGAAAGTTTACCGAAGGAATTGAGCATCATCAGTGTAATGTGTTAACACCATTGTTTTGAGGAGTTTTTCTTCCTTAACACCAAAACATATATCTAGGAGTTCATCATATTATGTGTGCTAAGATGCAGGAGCCAAATTACTACTTCTGTCAAAGTTCAACACTGCAGACTACTACCCAGGGGAAGGAGCGCCACCCCTTTATGGCTACTGCCATCCCGGGGCCCGGGCCAGCGGGGCAGGGCCTGGGCGGAGTTCCCTCATACATGGACTATGAGTGTTACGATTACAAACCTTCGTCAGACTCAGAGGTACGTACATACTTATCTGACATCAGTATTATATACTATTTCATCCCTGGGTCACAGACATTATGACACCAGTACCGTCATTATCCTCGGTAACATTCTGAAAACAGGATAATTTCTACAAATTTTTAATTCAATGCTAATAAGGACACATGATTATAAATTATTAAAAAACACTTATAGATCGCTACGTACAATCACTACAAACCTAGCCTATATACCATTAGTATCCAAACTCCTTCCAGACATACTGACACAAATATTTTGATATCATTTATGTTTGTTTTGACACTTTTAAATTATGCGATGATTCTACACCATTTAATGGAAAATAGGACTCAAACATATGTGATCATCACAAAGCATATCAAAGGATGGTGAATATACAATTGATAAAAAATAGGCACTATTAGATTAGGAAGTAAAATCAAATTAATTAAAAAGTATGATAATAATTAATTAAAAATTAAGATAGCATTTATTTAAAAAGTAAGATAATACTGATTAATAAATAAAATGGTATTTTATTGAGGAGAATATATCATTGACAATAGTCAACAAATTGTTTTGATCACATGACACATGGAAAACAGTTCTTTACCTAAGGCAGTTTGCAATCTTAACAAACTCTGATTGTGAAAATTGGATGGAAATGTTAAAGTCATCGTAACAGAGTTAGTTGTAGAGTTGTCCTTTTGTGTTTTATTGAGAAGAGGTTTGATACTGCAATAGGGTGACAATTAGTTCTGTGACACCTGGTGTAGAGTAGCCCATTGTAGAATTACTCTCACGTTTGAACACTGTAGGGACAGATGAGGCTACTTCATCCTTACAAACCCTGTTGTGTTGGATAGGCCGTAACATAGCAAAGCTTCATTTCTACAACCCCAAACAGCCTCTCTAACTATTTCTACAACTTGCCTCTAACTATTTCTACAACTCCAAACAGCCTCTCTAACTATTTCTACAACTCCAAACATCCTCTCTAACTATTTCTAAATCTTCAAACATTGTCCGTAATTAACACTCATTAAGGAAATTGATCTCAGCTACAATACGACTAGAAAATAATGAATATGTAAATATGTCAATGTCTAACAAACTTTCCCACCAGTAATTGATTAGCTAGGAAATCTCTTTGCTCACTCCAATATATAAATTGTTCATCAAGTTTTGAAAAGATTGTGAAATTTCATAGTAAAGCACTTTGATGAAAAACACATCAAAATTGATTTTAAGCATAACATTATTTGTTTTGAATGTATTGAAACTTAAATATCAAAAAAGATATATGAAATATAAATATATAAAAATAAAATAAACATTTAAATAACAAAAAACCATTTACGGTAAACATTTTTAAATGTAAATTTTTCTTCAATGTGATTTATTGTGATTAATCTATTCTGCTGTTAAATAGTTATGCAATTTTATTACCATTTTCGATCATGTATATCAACACAACCCTTAAAGATGCATTTCAAAAGAATTTTTCATATTTTCATTGTTATCAAACATTTCAAATTCAATTAATGATAAAATAAAGATGTTGTATATGCAGCCAATAATGTTCCAAAAGAATATCGCATTTTAACAGCCCGTCAGTATGGGAGACGTTTTGATAATATTGATAATGTCAGCATCAATAATGTCTTTATGCACTAGCGTGTGTAGGTAAACATGGGAACTGTTGTGCTGAATTTTATAAACCATCCAACTTAAAAACAGTCAATATTTCTGTTGCTTTCTGATAATTCTACTCTGAAATAACTCTACCAACATGCACCATTACTAGATACATCAGTTTATCCTTCAGAATGGAAACTGATGTCCAAAATTGTATGCTTACTAATAAAATTATTTAAAGATCTTTTACTTGATAAACTCATTTTAAAGGAGTCTGTACAATTTACTAAGTGATGTCCTGCACTTAATTGATTTTAGAAAAATCATAATTCACAGAAAAAGTCTGTTTTAGATACATCATAAATCTTTCTAAAAATAAGTTTGTTATTTAGAAAGCTAGAAATTCCTGTCGTAATTTTCTGCTAAGTTTTCATGTGTAAAACTTGTCATAGAACTTACATTACAATCAATCAAATGTTTAAGTCACATGATGACTGTACAAAATTATAAATCAGAGAATAAGGTAAATAGGGTACAGGTATAAAATGTAGGTAAAACCAGGTAAATATAGGTAAAACTGGATACACAAGTGCAGTTAAAAAGAGGGATTACAATTGCTGAATGATTATAGCCGTATTTTGTATTTACTTATTTTCTGCGTTGCCATTAAGTAAATATTTAACAGGATATAGAATGTAGACTGAATAAAACTAGGTCAAATGTTCTAACCGGTATACCAGTGCAGATCTATAGCTATCTGTTTTTTATAGGGCTAAGGTTCAACACAAACCCTTTGTAGATAAGTTGGGTACAAACGGTTTTGGATACTGAAGGTCGAATGGTATGTTGTGTGTGTATTTGATGGATGTAGGCATGATACACTTTTAAAATTTAGATACATAAAAATCATTCCGGTCTTATCGTTGCAAAAATTTACTCCTAAAAAATATGAAATGATTGCATCATGTAGAAATATATTACTTTCCCTAAGCATCCTCTCCCCTATCTTGTCAGCCTTGTAGATAACCAAACATTCAGGGCACTCCAAAAAAAGGAATTCATCCCAACTACACGGACATTTTCTGTCAGTGCTATTAGATAGCCCTGCATCAACAACACAGTATTCTGGTACTTTTCAAACTCCTTCCACTGACTTCATTTTATAGATTTTCTATTTAACTTCAGCTGGTACCTTTATCCGAAAGGGAAAAAAATCTGATTTTTAAGAGTAAAAACTTAAATTCTTCTTGCACAGATAAGTTTACCGAACTGGAAAATGGTGTTAGCCTAACACATGTCTATAATGCAGTTTTTGTAGATAGGCCGGCATATCTGGAAAACTGAGATTAACATTTGAATATCTAAGATTGTAGCTCTCCTAATAAATAAGTTTGATTTGGTACAAAAAACATGTTTCCACACGTTTACAGTCCCTACTGTGCGTGTTGATAGTCAACATAGAAAAAATAATCTAAAACAATGAATGTAATTCTTAATTAATAAATTGGTCACATTTATCTCTGCTAGAATTAAAATACTACGATATCTACCAATGTTGAAATATCTGCAATATATGAGCAATGTTTATGTTTTTAATGAAACCATATAATTTATAAATTGAAAAACAATTATAAGGCAGTAATAATTGTAAACTCTTTTGAGCAAATTTATTTTTCATTATTCAAAAAAATAAAAGATGATGATTGAGTAGTATTCGGTGGTAGTTTTTACAGACGGAAGTTGGTTAGATACAGAAGGAGGGGGGATTTTGTTTTCGTTCCTCCTTTGGGATTGTAATATCCTATAACATAGTCAAAGATTAAAACAGATTAATCTTATCCGTTGGAAGCAGCCTTGATTTGGAAAGATTTGTAGCATTGAAATTAAAATAAAAGAGGCAGCCAAGGTTTTTGATAAAATGCTATAAATCTCTGAAATTTTTGGAAAAGCACCCCTGCTTAGATATCTCATTGTACATAGGAGGAAAGGCGCCAATCAGTTCTTTGTTTTCGATTCAATCTAGTGTGATCATTAATCTTGATCTGCTGGCTCAGATATTCGGTCAGTAAAACTGCTCATCCTGAACATTTGATATAGTGTCAGATTCCCACAAGTGAAATGGAACTCTTTTAAGATGTGAAGCATTGTTGTTCATTGAATCGAAGTGATAAACAATGATTGCATGTATTGGAGTATTTTCATTTTACAATATTTAACTTCCCTTTTGTAGTAGATTTAATCCGTTTCTGTTACGACCTCATTTTATAACCTCAGTTCAAATAAGAATATATTCAAAAATTGATCCATTGTTGATATCATTTAAAAAATTGATCCATTGTTGATATCATTTAAAAAATTGATCCATTTTTGATATCATTTAAAAATTGATCCATTTTTGATATCATTTAAAAAATTGATCCATTGTTGATATCATTTTTAAAAAAATGTGCTGTCAGACCTGTTAGCTTCCTCTCTATTTAGTTTTTTGATTTTTTTAGATCAAATTTCAAAAAAAGTGAAAATGAAATTATTTATAAAAAAATAATAATTTAAAAGCGATCTTTAAATCTTCAAAAAATTTCTTAAGAAATTATTTGATGGAAAATACTGTGACCATTATATTTTTTAATCTTAATTGATTAAATTATCACTTTAATCAAATCTGTTAAGTTGTATTAATATATATTTGTATATGGTCTATACTGAAACTGGATGTAAAGCTATGTGTAGTGTATTGATTGGACATGATTACATGAAGGTGTCGAGGGGTTGTCAAACAACATAGCTGGGGCTGATCTTCCATTCATCCAATATCACATTGTCATGTATCATATTCTCTCTGTATTTCCCTATTTGATCAGATTTAATGGGTTGGTAAAAAAGGTGCAGTTGGAAATATTTTAATCAAAAACTTTAACACATCAGATTAGATAAAGATTTATTCTTAGCTCTGTGAAAAGGAAACTTGGAATACAATGTGTTAAACGCACTATAACATCTTCCTGAAGATGCAAGACTTCGGTACCCGCTTCTGATGAAATTGGGGCCCGAGATGATGACAAATAGTATCGCCTTGATGGGAAGGAAACTGGAATATCACATTATCGGTATGAATGGCAAGTGTCATGTCGCGTTGATAAATATACCAAAGCAAAGTCGGAGATGCTATTTGTCAAATCCTTCCACATCTCCACCCATTACTCGGGGTATTATGTAACAACCGTTAGGCATACACAATGCATCATTCCGTTTGACAATAATTTTAACTTTTAAAATCAATTTTCAAACAAAGGAGTAAAATTTGTAGTTGTTAAGTCGTGGTGGAAGAATTGTGTTTTGGCACACAGAGTGAACAGGGTTTAAGTTCCTTATGTCTT